CAGTTAAATCACAGGATAAAACTAATCGCCAATAATTAAGCTCTTCTCGTCAGATGTTTCTTGACCGTAAATCCTAAGTATCCGCTTCTCGGAAGATTATCGTAATTCACTCGCAGACCGCGTGTAGAATTCTTCGTGACAAACTTCTCCTTGGGCGTTATCGCTAATTTGTTTGCAGTACGCACACAAAATATCTCTGCGATAATAGGACTGCCTGAAACTTCTTCTGACTTCTTCGTAATTCTCGTCGTTCCTTGTTATTTCGTGCACTTCTCTCTCTATTCTCTCTCTTTCTCTCTTATCGTTCTTGTTGTCGGTCTATTTATACCTCGCTTTCTTTTACAATGCATCGACATTTTACAATTACGGTCTTAATTAAATTATCAAGCGCTTCACTTTAATTTCTAATTACCAATTCTTATCTTGCCTTCACGTCTGTAACAGTATGTTAATGATTTATTTGATTTGTTTCAGGATGTAAATGGTGTTGCGATGTATATGTATGCAGATGATGCAAAGTTGTTTAAAATTATGAACTCAGATACGGATAGTGTGGTATTGCAGAGGGGATTGAATGATTTGAATGAATGGTGTTTGCAGAATGATGTTAAATTGAATAAAGAAAAATGTGTTGTGATGAAGTTTTGTTGTTCTGTATCAGATAATAATTATGATTATAAAATAAGCTTGCACCCATTACTTTTTGTTGATAAAATTAAAGACTTGGGTGTTATTTTTGATACATCTTTGAAATTTATTGAACATATACATTGCAATGTTAAGAAGGCATTTTCATTGTTGGGTTTAATAAACAGAAATTTTAAAGATATTGATAAAAATGTTTTTATATTATTATATAAATCTTTAGTTAGAACTCAGCTGAAGTATGCAGCAAGTGTGTGGTCACCATGGACAATACGTGAAACAGAAGCGATAGAAAAGGTTCAGAAAAGGGCGACAAAGATGATCAAGGAAATATGAGGACCGATTAAAATTTTTACAACTGCCAACACTAAAATACAGACGAATAAGAGGTGATTTGATAACGATGTTTAACATGTTGAATGAAAAGGACCAACGAAGCTTGCCGGAAAAATTGAAAGCCACCAGACGAACAAGAGGACATGAGATGAGGCTAACAGCACTGACATTCCATACGAACTTAAGAAAAAATTATTTTGTTAATAGAACTATTAATATTTGGAATAATTTGAATGATGATGTTGTTAATTGCAGTGATTTGAATGAGTTTAAAAAAAAGTTGGATGATTTTCTTATGAATGCTAAATTTAAATACGACTGGAGAGCGGAGTTGAAGTATGAGTGCTGTTTATAGATTTTGGATGATGGTATAAATGTTTGTTTTGACATGATTGTCTTTAAGAGAGGACGATATATATGAATGGTTGAAATTGGAATTTTTATGAAGAAATGTTTGCGTATATATATATAAAGTTGAATTAATAATCGAAGTTATTCTCTTATATTTTTGTTTGTTTATTTATTTATTTTTTTTTGTATGATCTTTATGTATGAACAGAACATATTAACATATATTCATGTACATTATTGTTTATGTGTTAAAATTTTATAGTTAATTTTGTGTCGCGGGCATAAGGGACATTTTGTTTTCGCCCATGTTTTTTCTCATAATAATAATAATAAAAAAAAGAGCTGCGAAATTTAATATGCATAATATTGTTAACTATCTCCTAAATTTGGTAAAAATCTATTTATGCATGAAATTTTTCTAAATCAATGCCGTTGTTATTATATTTTGAATATTTATCGGTTCCTATTATACAAATTTATTTATCTTTTTCTCCATCAAAATACGGCCTGGATTTAAATAAATTAATAAAGATATTTAATAATTAAATCTAATAAGATTTAACTCAATCATGGAGTCTGACCAATTTTGACCCCACTCCGGCACACTGTCTATAATTACTTATTATATTTTATACGAAATTTCATTGAAAATTCAAACTCTTCTGAGCCAACAAATCGTTCCACAAGACAGCAGATGTAATGCGGTGCAGTTAAAAAGATAAAAGCGAATGATAGACTGAGTAACATGATCACACAATTTCTGTCGTCTTGTTTCCTGCTCTGCGTTGATACGTGTGCTGGTTTCAAATTGTGCTTGCAAACTTTCTCGAGAGCAACTTGATATTTGCTATTATCTGTATATAATTATGTAGTTGATTGTCAAAATTTAAACCTTAATAGAATATTTGTTTATAACTTAATACATTTGTAATGACTATTTTTTTCAACTCATCTTGTTTTTCAACTCTCTCAACTATTTCAAATTGGTGACGACAAATGGCGGACGTGGATGGCTGCGAGGTCCACAAAATCCTCTCCCTTTTGGCCACCATAATACGTCTGATGATCATGGAATTAAAAATGATGATAGCTAAGGATGGAATAAATGAATAGAATACAGCGTCAATCCAGAGCAAGTGAATAAGCATAAATGTGATGTGATTTTCTGTAATGGTGCATTTTTTTACAGGACACGTCCTGAAACTTTCTGTTGTCAGTTCGTAACTCGATGATAAGAAATGAAAATCCTGTGATAAAAGACGTACAAAGAAATAAGTTAAACATAAGTGAACCAAAAAATTTAGACAAACAAATTTATTTTTTATCTACATTTTTCAATTAGTTTGAATGAAAAAAATAAGTACATGTGTGTTTTTAATATAAATCACATTTTTTATATGAAGAACTCATTATTTATAAAAAAAAATGACCAAATTAGCCATTTAACACTATTAGCAAGAATTCAAAACTCTCATTGTCATTTCAACTTACTCTTAATTCCTTAGTCCAAAAAAAGTGAGCATTCAAAACTGACGCTAGCACCGACAACATCACGATCACCTAAATAAATGATTACAATTACAATAATCGATTCCATTACCGTCTTGATGTAACAAAACATTATTATACTAAAAATAATGTTTAGTAATTAAATTACGTATTATGTTGAAATTAACTCTTATTTGTTACTGATGGACAACTACGAACAATGCATAGCGTTTGTTAAAATAAAAATTTTTTATACAAGCTCCTCGTACGGTGGAACCGTCAATTCAATTTTTGACAATGCAGAAATGGGTAGCGCAAGCTCATAATTTTACATTCTCTCAGATTCAATGATTTGGTACAGTCAGGTCGATCATAAAATCATTGAGAAGTTATCGTTATTCAGGAATACGCAAGAGATTTTTGGTCTAAATACTCTGATTTGCCGAATTTACGAGAGCATATTCGGACTCAATCAAGGCCGGATTAACTAATAAACAAACGCAAGTTATAGGCAGTTTAAAGGACCAGGATTAGACACAAATTATCATTTTTACTCGCTGGTTGCTACTGGTTAAAAAAACACCTCGAACTGTTGTTTCAAATATTGAGAATTTATTCACCAAAGCTTGTCAAATTGGAGGTAGCCTCAAACTAAATTGCGCCATCATTACAAAACGTACGGCACCAAGTAACTGAATCGCCGATGAATTATTAAATTAAATTAATTTATTTAAATGTGTTAACTAATTAACACAATTTCATTGGGAACGTGCAAGTAGATAACATTTCAGCTCAATTAGACAATGGGAATTACAAGATTTATTAATTAATAAATAACCTAATGAACGTATGAAAATGATATAAGCCTGGTAATGGCACAACTAGCGTAAAAGTACGATAATACGGTTCTAGTCAAATTCCTTTTAATTACGTTTTATTACGTTTTTTCTGTCATTTGTTAATACGGTTTTAGTAAATTCTTTTAAATTATGTTTTATTATGCATTTCTGCTAATTATTAATTTGAATTTTTAACGTAAGAAAACTTATTTATACTAAATGGCAATTCCTAATTATGTTTATTACATATGTTTGTTAAGTAAGTGTTATTTAGAATTCCATTAAATTTCAATTGGTAGTTATAAGCTAAGTGTAAATGTATCAAATGCAAAAGCTATGGAATTTTATAAAAAAAAACAATTGTTAATAGTTAAATAAATGTTTTAATGAATGAATAAACAAACAAATTAAAAGCGAAACAGCCATTGAGCCAACCTTCAGAGCTACCTTCTTCCGACACATGAATGCAGCCTTCAGTGGATAACAAACAGCGATGAACCTTTCTACCGTAACAGCCACTACCAACCAAACTGATAGATCACCCACAGCGTAGTTAACAAACCATGATCCTTTACATGTCAAAATCGACCAATCTATTAGACGAAATTTGTTTCCATATTCAATATATGGAATTAAGCACCAGCACGTTAATGATAACGTATCGAACATGGACAATACAGACAAATACGAAGACATGGATTTCTTGCGCATATTTTTACGAAGCAGAACCGACAGGGAAAGAATATTTCCTAGGACACCAAAAATGAAAATAATCGGATATACGTAGGTTAAAATGACTCCATCAATCTGAGCACTTGCCTCATTGCCATTTTGAACGTTTGATAACTCACTGCTGTAAAAAGAAGTTGACTCAAAATGTCTATAATCATATGATTCCACTGAATTTTGATGTCCTGCTTGATAATTGAACATGTTTACATAATTATTGGTGTTATTTAGCTTCATGTTTCCCGTATATAGGTCGTCATAATAATGATAATAATAATAATAATCTTCTTTTTTTTCTTCATAGTCGTTGTTGTAATCGTTTATCATATTCAAAATTGTTTGAATAACCATTTTATTGAAATTCTCGTTTATAGGATTTTTACAAGAATCAACAATGTTTTTTCTAGACATAAAATCGATCAACTCATCCTTAGTGTGATTTTGTGTAAATTTCCAAAGTTGTTCTGTGAGGTCTGAAGGTAAGATTGAGTTGTCCATAGTTAGGCGGCCGTTCGCGATGGATAATTCCAGCAATAATGTTAAGGGTTGGTTGAGTTTGTGATGTTTGAAATGTTCTAATATGACGTCTCGAAGATGTTGCAATGATTGTGGTCGACTGATATCTGCAACAATGATGATGTTGAAATTTGAGATGCTTCGACTGGAAGAGTGATGAAAATATTATAGATAATTTGTTTAATCAAACGTAGCTCCCGTGCCGATGCAATCGTCGAAATTTATTTGTATAACCTGGCTAATGTAGCAGCAGTTGAGGCGATGATGATGATAATTTATAATGTTGATCCTGTTATTAATTAATTAATTGTTAAAATTACTTGTTTCATAAGTTGAAATAAAATATTTCATAGACAGAATTTTTTAAATTGATTCAAATAATTTTTGCCAGCACCCCGTGAGGAAATCTATCTATCAATCACTTTATTGAGAACTGAATATTGTGGAGATTATATAAACAATTTCAATTCAATATATCTGGGACGCTAATGAATAATTAAGAAAACATCAGCTGTCAGACACTTCCTAACTTTATCTTCTAGCTTAATAATATTTATTTGTAACAACTTACGCAACATACTATATGTATGTACGTTATGAATAAAATTATAAATTGTAATTATTATTAATATGAGCGTAATTAGTTAGTTGGATAAAATAATCAGAAGATTGCGAGATGTGTTTCAATATTACTGCGTGAACAATTATGTACGATCTGTTGCTAAGCAGGACACCAAATCATGTGATGCGATCATCTTCCTGGTTGCAACTGCCACTTAAACTTATCATCCATTGCAAACCGTCTAAATGTGCCAATTCACTTTTGCAGTCTATTTAAGTCTAACATTTTTTACATACAAGTTCTGAATTTATTATATTGAAATTTTTGACCACGAGCAAGAGTTAGATCAACAGAATCTCAGAATAGTTCACTAACCTATACAAACATTATTTACTAACAATCACATTCAAATTCTTAACTGAATCGAAATAATCAGTTGCTGCTGCGTCTTAATCTTGTGGGAGATGTGAACGAAATGAACAAAAGTATTCCCACCATGCCATCACGGATTCACCAGACGAAATTTTAATATTAATCTGAGAGTTGAGTTACACATTATCTCGTGGTTTGATGATACTGTGAAATATCATTAGAAATAAATGACGCAATGTTTTATTAACGTTTTACTATTGTTCATTTCCTGTAAAAATATAACCTCTTCTTCATTGAACACATTGAACACTTAACAATAAACAAGTTTAATGTAGTTATTTTGTGGCTTGGGTGGTATACCTTCTCACACCCCTCTATCTGGATCCGCCACTGATTTATTCAAGGCAACACCTGACTAAATGTTATTAGAATCATATTAGTAACCTGAAAAATAAATATTCAAACATTTTTAGAGATTGTAGTAAGATTTTAAAATATAATATGAACTATGAAAGCAACAAATATGGTAATGACGTTCATTAGACTAAACCAGCGTTGTGCAACATTTTTCAATGGAGGGCCACTTGTTCTTTACAAGACAGCTGCGTGGGCTAGTCATCTTCTTAAAAAATTATGCCATGATAAATTTATTCATGATTTCATGTTGCGGTGAAAACATGTATGTATATATATATAATCATGAAGATTTTTTGAAGCATTATTTTAGTTTAATTCAATATAACAATTTTGAACATTTAAATTTATTCGCGATTCTAAATAATAATGAATACACGTACATGTATGAACTATTTAAAAAATTGAACTTTTGCACAATTTATTGTTAGCTTTAACAGAGGTAGTTGTGAATCAAAGCTGACCAGTCAGATGTTCATCTGTCAGATGGCTTCTGATCTATTTTTCGTGTGTTTAAAAATATGTGAAAGTTTTTGTCTATTGCTTTTTTATTAAGAATAATATTTATTGAAAATTTTTAGTTTAATACGTTCAGAATTAAATTTAAGTAAAATTAATGATAAATGACTCTTTTTTTTTGACAATTTTTAACAATTTTGAAATTTATCTCGAGGGCCACTTAAAACGGCTTGGCGAGCCGAGTTGTGACCCACGGGCAGCCAGCTTGTACATTTTTGTCTGTTATGAAATTTTGTATCAGGTAAATTTTATTAAATTGAAATGAAAATAAACAAAAATAAAAAGAAAATAATTTAAAAAAACCCATTTCATGAAATCTACAACTCACAGCCTCTATTTGAATGTTTAAAATTTAATACCCAGTACTTTTTTTATTATTTTAATAGTTTTACAAATATATTAGGTTTCGTTATAAACAAATTTTTTAAAGTTAAAAATATTTGCTGTTGATCAAAGGATTAAATAGTTTTAGATATTTTTCACCCTATCCGAACAAACGAACCTGCTAGATTATGACGACCCTCGCTAGCCTGTCATTAGTTTGTGAAACGGCCTTTGCTTAAGCGTGGGCTGCAGCGAGTATTCGTTAGAATTTGGAAGATGTGGCAAAAGATGAGCTGTCTCAGTTTCTGAGAAATATTCCAATGAGGTCTAACTTTAACAAATCAGAACAATAAAGTTAGACAAAACTGTTCAGCTACATATATTTCAACAAGCAAAATGAATTATTGCGAAACGGGAGCCACAGAAACTGTGTGTAATACAGAAAAAACAGATTTGTTAAATTAAAAATTTTTATATTATTTTAAGTTCATTACTCTATATTCAACTTCATCTCAACATTGTCATAACCATCATCCGAGCCGTCTTTTTTTTTTTTTTTTTTTTTCAAAAAATTTAGCATTGAAAATATTTCACACTATGATCTTCCAATGAGAATTTGATTTTCCATTTTAATTTTATCACTTTTAACATCCATCTTTTATTAACTCTTTGGCTTTACATTTATATTAATTATATTAATCAAACAAACTTAAAATTTAAGTAACGTTACTTTATTTCACGTTCGTATCAACATATATTTATCAAGTCAATGAAAGACATATGCAGGAGTGTTTTATATCTCAAAATATCAACAATTTCTTTCAGATTAGTAATTTTAAAATAAGAAGTTACAAATTTATCAACAATGATAAAGCTATTATTTTTGCTGTGTATTATTATTGTTATTAATATTATCCAATCGACGGAGCACTCACGACACGCCCATTCTCATCCACAAATATCCTGACTCTGTTGTATCTTTTATCAGCAGTGATTGGGCGGCCGATCCTCATAATGATCACCTGGCGTGATAATTTTTTTTCATTAAATTTTAATATACGTATATACGTAACAACAATTACTATTAAAACACAACAACAATAACAACAACAACAATAAAAATAATAATAACAGCGCTAACAATAATGAGTAACAAAGCTGCCCACAATTTGATTTTCAAAAACGGTGTATATATATAAATAGAACATGAATTTTAATATATATATATGTATATATATCGCATGATCGATAAAGCAATTAAAAATATTATTTGTGTTAGAAACGTCATAGAAATTGGCGCTTATGTATATTTTCGTGAGCTTTTCTAAATTTATTATTATATTGCTATTTTAATATTTCGGGATATATATATATATATATATATATATATATATATATATCAAATCAAATCAAATATTGTATTTATATAGCGCCAATTATAATTGCTTCTCATCAGCGCTCTCCTCGTATGAAGCATGTTGAAAGCGAAGTCATCATCGGTTGAGATCACTAGGAGTCACCAAATAGGTATGTCTTTAGATGTTTTCTAAACTCAACTAATGATAACCCGGATATACGTAGTTCGATAGGTAGGCTGTTTCAAAAAATAGTTCCAGCAACTGAAAAATCTCTATCTGCTGTTTTCATATTCCGATCTCTAACATACAGCGTGTTTGAATCAGCAGACCTTAGACGCCCATGTGATGACATAGATGAAACTCGAATACACTTATCTTCTAAATATTTTGGAGCCAGGCCATTCAAACTTTTAAATACCATTACACCCAACTTGAACATGATTCTTTGTTTAACACGCAGCCAATGCAACTCCTTTAGAATTGGTAATGCATGATCAAATTTTAATTTGCGATATATCATTCTAGCAGCCTGATTCTGAACCTTTTGAAGTTTAGACAACAGTTTATCAGCTATGCCATATAGAAGACTGTTACAATAATCCAATCTAGAGTTGACGAAAACATGTACTAATAGAGTCCGATTTTGTGACTTGACGTAATTGACGTAGTTGGAACATACATTTCTTAACCAATATACTTACTTGTGGACCCATTGTCATACGGGAGTCCATCACAATTCCCAAATTGGTAACCATTTTACTGAAACTTATATCAGTCATGCTGATGTTAATCGATGAAGGTTCAACCGCTGACGTTAGTTGCCATGTACCAGCCAACATGAACTGAGTCTTAGTCTGATTCAACTTTAGCCTACTTTGACCCAGCCACGAGCCGACATCAGATATAGTTTTTGTCAGTTTCTCTAATACGGTAGGCATCTCATCTGGGAAACATTAAACGTAAATCTGCATGTCATCTGCGTACCCATGGCAATAATAACCATCTTTATTCAGTAAATCCAATATCTCTGCAACGTACAAATTAAAAAGAATCGGTCCAAGAACAGATCCTTAAGGCACTCCTGACGTAAGTTTCATTGGTTCCGAGAAACCACCTGAGTAAGAAATCCGCTGAGTCCG